ATACTCCAATAATAATAATACTCCAAACTAGACCAAACTATTCCTGTAACTTATTTGTACAAAAGATCTACAGCATTAAGGACCTTGAAAAATAACTATTGTTTTTTAAAGGGACCACTTAATTATACCCTTCTATAATAACAAATGTTAAAATGTGCCTAGAAATAAGGTCACATGATAGATTTTAAGATATTTCTGAAGACTTGTCACTTGCCATAGTCACACACAGAAGTGACTCTTCTTCTGGAATGATAAGAGCCAACTATGATCTTCCAGGTTATGTCTTTGTAGCAAGAGACGCATTTGTAAAATTGTTTGATTTGTCCTTTTCTGTGCAGGTTGCAAGTGTAATTATTAGAAGTAGTCTTAGTGCAGGAACTGTAATTTGTGAAATCATCTGTCACCAGCTAGCACTCTGAGGCAGAGGGAGAGAGAGAGAGAGAGAGGAGAAGAAGAGAAGGCTTATGAAGTTTGTTTCTTTGCTTTGCTATAATCTTTTTTTTTTTTCCTTGTGGGAGAACTAATGTATGAGATAATGAATGCAGTGAATTACCATTTGTACGTCCTGAGATAAGTGAGGTTGTCACTTCTGGTTATGTCACACAGATATTCTTTTGCTGGCTACTGTTGATGAATGCTCTAGACCATACAAGGTTTGCAAGAAAGGTATTTCTGTTACAAGGAGCAAATTAATTGTGTTTACATATAAAGTTGTACTTATGAGCTAGACATGTGTCTGTTTCATTTCAGAAGCAGCTATATGTAAGGAAGACCACAAGGAGAGTTGAAAGGCTGAAGAGTTCAGATGAATTTTTCCTCTTCCTTCTCAATTGTTCTTTAATGTTTTCTACTCTTGAACTTATTGCCAAATGTGGTTCCCCCCCCCCCCCCATCTTATGCTTTTCTGCATCAAATACTCTTCTGAGTCAATGTGGCTTCACATTTGACTGCTCTCTTCTGCTACCAGTTAAATCTCCTCTCCCCAGTCTAAACCAGGATAAAGGGTAACAAAATGTGTGAAAGCTAGAGACTGGCAGCTACAATCTGGTGTATCTTGATGGTGGAAAAACATGTACATCAGGTTCAAGTGGGTGCAGGCCAAACAAATCCAGCTTTTTTCCTAATGTGCTCATCACCTTTCCTGGAATATATGGAGATTTCCTCCAACTTTTCAGCCTGATAAATAGCCATAATTTTATTGAATGGTAATCAGCTGAAGAGGCACTGACAGGAACTTTTTGTATGCCTTGAAAATCTTCATGACTTCATCTTGAATGTGAGAATTCAAGGACTCTTAAGGTTTGTCTGCATTTGGGAATTTCTCACTTAAAAATAAATATTATTCAGTTTTTCTTAAGGGTGCAACTTCACCAGTCATGAAAACCTCAATTATACTTTGTCACAAGAGAATGATGATTATTTGAAGCAACTGCTTGCAAGACAGAGAAATTATTTGAAAGGGGCAGTTCAGACAGTGAATTTCATACAGTATTTGCAGGCTTTTACTGGTCAGCAAGAGGGAGCACTGATTGGTTCTTTCCTTGCATTTCAAGTCCGGCTGCCTGGAAGACAATTGCTGGCCAGTTTCAAATCCTTGGGAGGAACAGAAGAATGAAAACAGTGGGATGGAAAGTCCTCAGTTCCCTCACTAGAGGCTTGACTGGCATCACGAGTTGGTAGTCTTGGGTACAAGACAAAGGCCTTTGAGGGCCATTACCGATCTGTGGATGTCCTGGACATGCTGCTTCTGTATTATTCTTCCCCTCTATTCAAAGCTGTAGTTGTGACTAAAACAATAGTGGGCTAGCAAAGTTGGGAACTCCAGATAGAATGTATAGATATTTGTGTTTCTGCTTTCCTTTGCAGCTCTGGATATTGCATCACAGAAGCCATTTTCTCTCCCTCAGGATTGTAGTCTGGGGAGGGGAAGGATGTTTCCACCGTATCAGTGTTGGGACAATTAAGACCCAGACTTCCCAGTGAGCATGAGGAAGATTGCTTCAGTATATGCATATCTGTCTTATCTGGCAGTTGATAATACTGTATATGAGATGTCTTTTTTTTTTTGGAATGATCATGAGCTGCAAGCTACGTTTCAAAGTGTCCACTGATTAGATGCTTCTGCTACGTAGTCACAAACGGTTCTCATGTGTAATCCTTGTATTAATAAAAAAGGCTTGGCAGCCTCCATAATAACCCACAAAAGGAATATTAAAATCTCACAGTAAAGGCAGTTCTTTGCAACACTTTGTAATAGAGTTGAGACAAAAGGAACTGTTTAAAAATTGGTTGGCTAACAATAAGGAAAATACTTATCATATAATATAATCTGGTACTGAGATTATCATAAGTAGTTCTGTACTGGTTCATGTATTTTTTCGTGTATCTGCCCAGATTGAACCTGGGCCTGAGGTTATAATCCAATATGTTCGCTCAGTTTGGGGTGACTCACACTAAATTTATTTGGACTTGTTGCTGAGTTGACATGTATAGGATTTTAGCATGAAATATCTTAAACTAGAATGTGAGTTTCTAGAATGTGCCTCATTAAATGCTTGTATCATCTATCAGAAAACAGGCACTATAGTCTGCTGGAGGCTTCTGGCCATTACATGTGGAAGATCCTTCTCCTGTCTACCTCCCTCCAAATGTATCAGGGCTGTGGTGCTCAGTGATCCTAAGCAACACAGTCATCTTGCTGTCTTAAGACATCGAGAGACACCGGCTAGAAATCTGATAGAGAGATTCTTAGCTTTCTGTGCAAATTGGATCTCATCAGTGCAAAACTTTGGATTCAATTCCTGAAGTGCAGAGGGAGGTAGCACTTTTCTGCAATTCTTTAAAGCAGCTGCATTTTTTCCTGGGGTCAAATGCCAGTTGCAGAAGGAACCCACGCAATCCTGGTAAAAGAAGTAGCTGCTCTAAAGAGTTGCAGACAAGTGCTACAGTTGGGCTCTAAAGGACCATTTGGGAATGAATCCAACATGCTGTACAGGACTAAAGCAAACATCTGACTACCTGCCTAACAGTGAGCGCTTTCATCATACTGAATCTACATGTAAAGCAACTGTTTGTTTTTCTCCTTCAGCTTATTTTAAATGCTACAAAATATTTCTTTCAGTTGCATTCAGAGAATGGATCTAACTCCTTTCTGTAGATTCTGATACTGTGCATATCTATCAGCTGGAAAAGTCAGATGCTAAAAAGCTATGGAGAATATTTATAATGGGTTTGGCGTGGTAATGTGTATGTTTGCCTTTTATCCATTACAATTGCTGAGGCAGCCATGTGCCACATAAAGTGCTATACAGGATTGTCGTTAAAGCTGAAAAGTTGTCTTGCTTCTTATTGCTGTATGCCAGTCATACTTTGTGGAATTTTTTTGGACTGGATTTCTGAGGTTATTATGGACTCCTCAAGTTTCAAGTGGATATAGTGGAAGAGGGAAGGTGAACAGTACATCCCTTTTGTTTTCGGTTCCAGACAATATTGATCTTACACCTAAGCTGAAATCTAGCCTTTCCCAGCCTGGTGTCCTCCACATGTGTTCACCCTGGGTTGGCTGAAAGGAGCTGTAGGCCAACTACCCAGAAGCGCATCAGACTGGGGAGAATGCTGGAATCTCAGACTTGCTTTGCAAAGGTGCAACCTGTGCATTCCCATTGGATTAGGATTTGCAGGATGCTAATCTTTGGCACTGGAATTGGGCTCCTTCCATCAGCCTTGCCCCCTTTACCTTCCTTTACAGTTTCACACCAGGTTGAGATTGTTCTAAGTGCTGCTCCTTGAGACAAATGGGTGAGAATGGGGAGGAGGGGAGGACCTTCCAGATGGCTGGGGGTGGGGTGGGAGGTACTGGTTCTTCCTTTCCTCCATAGTGGGACACAGGGGAGTAGTGAGGCCAAACTGCCAGTCATGATTTGTGAAGAATGGGGGAGGGGAAATGGGAGCAAAACATTAAAGCCGGGAAGTGAGATGTTGGCAGTCCTGCTAATAGAAAACTACCCTACCAATCTGGAGGAAACGCTGTAGAAATGTCTTTACCGTGTTTCCTCTTGAATAGAGCTTAGCTCCCTGACCCATGTGTACCCCTGACCTCTGGGTCTAGAAAGGGCTTTTGTTCATTCATTCATTCATTCATTCATTCATTCATTCATTCATTCATTCAATTTATATGGCCACCCATCTCAACAAGTGACTCTGGGTGGCGAACAGAATTTAAAATAAATTAAAAACAATTAGGAACATTATAAAAATTAAAATACATGGCAGCCGAGAAACATCATAACCCAAATCACTAATATAATCAAGAAACGGGTCCCTGAACACATTTGGGACCCCAGGCCCAGGCCGCAAACCTGGTCTTTAGGACCTTACAAAAGGCCAGCAGGTTCGGGGCCATCCTGATCTCCAGAGGGGGAATGTTCCACAGGGTGAGTGCTGTGGCAGAAAAGGTACTCTTCTGGGCCCTGCCAGCTGGCATTCCTTAGCCAACAGGACCTGAAGCATGCCCATCCTGCCTGACCAGATTGGATGGGTAGAAACAACTGGGGAGAGACAGTCCCTCAGGTAAAATTTTCCAATACAGCATCGTTTGTACAGTAAATCTAATTTGTTGTTTCTCAAGCTTTAAGCTGAGTAAGTGAACAGAGGCCAATGATAAAGACGGCTTCATTTTATCTGGAGTTCTTTGGTTTATAAACACATGTTAGCATATTTTCGTCTTTCAGTTACCACTTCTGCACTCATTTTTTCTCTTTACCATATGCAGTCCAAGCAAATATGATACACTCTTCCTGTGGACCATAACTGGAAGTAATTCTTTCAGCACACATTTTTCCTTTTCATCCTGTCCTTTCTCTTGCAAATTCTGTTCCTTTTAGCTGTAACTAAGATTTAATTAGGACATGCTATGTAAAGACAAATATGGTGTTAGAGGTCCATAAAAACAGACTTGTGCTCTTAATTTGCCTTTAATTTTATATATCTATCTATCACAGGAGAAATGGGAGACAAAGGGCAGAAAGGTAGCATGGGACGACATGGAAAAATTGGTCCCATAGGCTCAAAAGGTATATTTTTCTTCATTCTGTAAGCTTTGAACAGTACGTTAAATTTATTTTTTTCTAATGGCCTATATTTAGGTATTTTTAAAGAATAAACTTTAAAAAATAACTTAAAAGTCACATACGAGGCTCAATAAAATGATAACTGTATGAATTTGAGTTTCTTGGATGCAGGACAGAGAAAATTAGAAATATTATCTATTCCTAATTAACTGATTTATAAACTATGTTAACCAGTATATTTTCAGTTAGTGTCAAGAAAAATTTAGTACGTTGATTAACGCTTATTGTCATATCCTTCAGGACATATTTTTATGACGGGTTGTCTAATATGTGGTTCCAGATTCATCTGCTATCATTCTTCAGCATTTTAGTTAAGCCCACGAAGCATGGCCACACCCAGTGTGGATAATGAATTACTGGAGTCCTCTCAGCTTTAGTCCACTTGGGGTTTACCCAGCATTTCAGCTGTGTAATGTGGTGGGAACCAAGAAGGACTTGACTCCCAGCTCATTATTACTATTCTGGTACAGCTGGGTAAGTAGATGAGATAATGCAAGGGTGTTGTTGATTACTGCCCCATACCTCCTCTTATATACTCACACATGGTAACACAATGCCTAGAACAGCCCAGGCTATCATTTAGCTCACCTCTTCTTCCTTGTGAGCAAGTGTGAGAGGGAGATGAGGCTAGCACTATTAGGAACGCCATCACCAGGACACTTAAGCATTGGCAGGTATTATGACAGGGTAGGGTGCTGGAACTCCCATCCCCACCTGCCAAAATAAGCTGGAGGGAGGCTGGCTTTTTCAGTGCCCTCCCCCAGATCTTATTCAGTCCTTTATCCAGGAAGAGATGAAGAGCCCCCATTTCCCATCTCCTCCAGTATGGAGAAGAATGTTTGGAGAGGAAAATCCTCATGAACTGTATGGTTGGGTAAGATGGAGGAACCCAGGGAGATCATCTTATAGAAATGTCCTGGAACATCTACAAACAGACTTGCTGAGTTGCCACTGATATTTGGATATGAATTCTCACTGCATCTGGAGAGTCCCAGGTTGCCATATTATGAACCCATTCATATTCTTCTAATAATGATTAATTTTACATATATAAATAACATGTGTTATTCAGTACTTCTAATATGCCTGTATCGCATATGCCACTGTCAGTGGCATTTTGCGAGTGACACAATAAAAAATCCTGATGCATCTTAAATTTTATTCCCCAGCAGGAATGTATTTTCTTCAAGAAATGGACAGATTTCATTCAATAAAATTCAATTTTGTATATTTTAATTTTGAAACACATTTATGTGTAAGTTACATTTGATTTCATTAGGCATTACTTTCACAGTTATGTATGGTTAAGATAATATCCAAGCTTGGTAATGTATTGATATCAGACAAATGCTACCCTGTTTGCTGAGAAGTTTAATTGTCTTTGTTTTTCCTTTCTTAGGACAAAAAGGAGATAATGGAGATATAGGTCCACCTGGTCCTAATGGAGAGCCAGGTAAATTATATCAGAACTGGCTGTAGTATCTCTCAAGACCCATTTTGCAATTAAATAACTCTGAAATTATGTGAAAAGGGTTAGTGTCTTATAAGTAGGCACAAGAAAGTATGACGAGGCATGTTATGTCTATGCCTGTGCAAGTCCTCCTCCGAAATTCAGCTAATACATATGAAGCAGCCTCTTATTTTCTCCATACAATTTCCCACCATGCAGGAGATTACAGGAAGGAATCTCAGTGAGAACAACCTAGCCGTAGTAGTGGTTTCATGTGGGTATCAGAGCAGAAAAGGACTGCTTGAACACAGTTATCTGGGTTCCCTGTTCAGAAGCAAGGTATCCCTGTGGTCCTTTCCATGGGGAAGCCTGTGTGGAGAAGATGAGCACTTGGAGCCAGAGTGATATAATCTGAGTTTATATGACTCTCAGGACTGGTTGTTGGTGAATGCAAGGGGAAGAGTACTCCAGTGATGCACTTACATCTGGCTTATGGGCTTCTTGTCAGAATCTGGTTGGGCTTGACGGGAAAAGAGCGTTGCATTAAGTAGGCCTTTGGGCTGTTCTTATGCTTCCTTAGGCATTCCTTGTGAATGTGGCCAGCTACGAACAGCCATTGGTAAAATGGATAATCAAGTGAGCCTGCTGACAACAGAGCTGAAGTTCATTAAAAAAGGTAGGGAAACATATTCCCCCTTCCCTTCTTAACTATAAGGAATTGCATTCAGAAGAACCTGGCTTGCTTTTTAGTTGGTCAGCTGTGTCTGTCTTCAATGGAATGCATTAAGTAGGTTTATAGAAATGCAAGTGCTCACTTTTCAGCACTGCCCTCCCCCGCAGCTGTTGCTGGTGTGCGTGAGACAGATAATAAGACATACCTGCTGGTGAAGGAGCAGAAGCGGTATGTGGACGCCCAGCTCTACTGCCAAGGAAGAGGAGGGACCCTGAGCATGCCCAAGGATGAAGCCACCAATAATCTCATTGCTTCTTACATCAGTCAAGCTGGCCTCAGCCGAGTTTTCATCGGCATTAATGACCTTGAGAAGGAAGGCAGCTTTGTGTACTCAGACCGATCCCCTATGCAGACCTTCAACAAGTGGAGCACCGGTGAACCAAATAACGCTTATGACGAGGAGGACTGTGTAGAAATGATAACCTCTGGGGGCTGGAATGATGTGGCTTGTCACATTACAATGAATTTTGTATGCGAATTTGACAAAGAAAATGTTTAATAAAGTTTCCCCCTGCCGTGCTCTCTATCTGATTTTTTTTGTGGGGGGGTGAATAACTTGGGCAGTCCAACTATCACTGTAACCAGGACTCCATTTCTGAATTGGGATTATATGGAAGTTGGTCTTTTGTTTATAAGATCCAAACGTTCCAGCAATCTTCTTCATATCAGTGTGTAAAACTGTCCCAGGATGTCCTCATCCTTGCTTTGATTCCCAAATTTTTCAAACAACCCCAACATCACCACACAAACACACACACACAATGAAAAACCTTTGTAACATTTTTCTTTCTTTGATGCAAGTTTTAAGTATGGTCCTTTCCCTCCATACTTGTGAGTATATGGGGGGGACAGGTAAGATAAAAAGAATGTAGGAAATAAACCCTAAATATTAGATAAGCCTATCTATAGTTACCCACTGTGTGGAGGGGAGGTAATATTTCTCATGTGTGTTTACTTCAGTCATATTTGGCATGAAGGTTTGCTTTTGTTACTAATAAAATGCCATTTTTGATGTTTTGATCTCAGAAAAACTAATTTTTTCATGATGAATTAGAAGTATCTCCTCTTCTGTCATTTTATCTGCAGGTGACATGAGCCCACAATATGTTCAGTACTTCTGCCTCAAAAAATAGTGTGTGTGTGTGTGCATGCATGGGGGGAATTGCATTGTTTGGGTGTCCATGCAATTAGTGAAAGTGTGAAACATCTCTTAGGTGAAGATATGTGGCTGCTGGATGGAGACTAGGTAAGCCCATTCCTGTACAATTCAGAAGGGAGTGTCTGTAACAATACAGTAAACTATTTTCCACAGCAATGCAACTCAGCAAATCCACTCATTTTTGAAATGAAGACTTTCATTTATTTCTGTAGGGCTTTGCAAAAGAGCTTCCCGGCTGATTGTGGCTGCCATGAATAGGCCAGGATCTAGATAGAAGTTGGCACACAGGAACATGAAATACTTTTAAGAGCACTGAGAAGTTGTTGAACAATGGCCAGTAAAATATAAACACCAGGAAAAGCAACAAAATATGTTGGCTTGTTAACTGACCCTAACCCTAATTACTCCTAAAGGTGATGGATTATAATATGCTTAAAAGTATATGACATTAGTATTGTACAGCTGTAAATATAATCTCGGTATTTCAAATATCAGTGTTTACCCTTTAGAAGGGAAGAGCAGAATTGACACAATTTGCATTCCTGTAATAAATATGGCCCACATCTAGGCAGTACTTAGGTATATCTAACCTATTTGAAATCACTGGGTCTTAAACTTAATGCTGTGGAGAAACCTATCGACCAGTGTTTGTCAACCTTAGCAACTTTAAGATGTGTGGACTTCAACTCCCAAAATTCCCTCAGCCAGCATGCTGGCTGGGGGAATTCTGGGAGTTGAAGTCTACATATCTTAAAGTTGCTAAGGCTGACAAACACTAGTATAGACCCTTGGGCCAAAAACCTCAATTTGTTCACTTTTTGAGCTGAATAAAAGATGTACAACTATTTTAGGATGTTTCAAATAATATGTCTATGATTTCTTTTTTTAAAGAAATCATAGACATATTTAAATTATCCTTGAAACAAGAGGTCGTATTTTTTTTCATAAATATAAAATGTCTTTAGGAGAATAGCAGTTTCTGAGAAATAGCACACTAGTTCCTCATATCCTCTATTATATTTAATGTTTAACATTTAAAATACTTGCAGCTGTAGATTTCCTGGACTAAATTAATTTAACTGAACAGTCTAGGTAGCATTTAATACGTTATAACTTGACAATAGGAAATTAAAAGAAGCAAGATTATAGAAAGTATAAAACTTTATTTTCTTAGGCTTAGGGTAGCTGCCATACCTGTGTTTGTGTATGTATGGTTGGGACTAGAGAAATAAATTCAAGGAGATCCCTGTTGTTCATTGCAATTTTGTGATGATCAGGCCTGGGCTGCAAAAGTCTGGATAACCAGCAGATGGCAGCAAGAGCTTAATGTTTTCTAAATCTCTAGGTTATCATCTAGTACAGCAGTTGTTGTAATCTTTGCATCCTAGGCCTGACAGCACATACAATTGTTAACATGTTTCTGCTTTATGCTTGCCATTGTTGGCAAAGAAAAGCTAAGAATCACCCATCCTGGTATTAAGTGGCAGCAACTTGACTTAATTAATGTTAACCATTTATTCCACCTGAGACTAAGATTGGGCACACCTGTAGATTAGCTCTTTGTGAAGGTCTGTATCTGTAATTAGGATGGCTGAGTTCTTAATCCCATGACAGAAGTACATTCAATGGAATGTAATGTGCTTCTACCTGGATTACAACTAAGGAGGTGCACATGAAATGACTGAAATTAAAATTAAATTTAGCCTTTTCTTTCTTATTTCATCAATGCATATAAATCTATGTGAAGTCTGAGATAAATCCCAGCTGTAAGAACTGGGTATTAATTTAATTGGCTTCTCAAGGTTCTTAGTGCTGGAAGTAAACTGAGATAGTTTATTAATATAAGTGAGTTACAAAAACTGACTCCAGCATGCAGACAGAACCTAAAACCGATTAACTGACTCTGCTTGACTTTTGGGGCAACCCTTACTCTCGTCTCTCCCACAAAGAGCATCAGTGGCTTACAGTTTCACAGCAGCACAAGGGAACAAGTCAGTTAACTAATATTTCTTCAGACTTGTCTATGGATAACCAACTGTGTATGCTTATTTAATAAATATAATAGAAGTAATAAAAATGGTCAATTTGAATATTTGCTATGATTGATTATAGTTCTGTTTTAGGCTCACTTTCCTATGCTATATTAAACTTACCTACATTGATTGTAACGGGATTTCTAAATAAGCCACTGCAGAATCGGTCCTAATGAGCTGTAGAGTACATTAGATGAACAAAACATTTTCAGTTAACATGAGTAGTCCTTATTTCCTCCACCACTATACCAGTGAACCCCCACAAATTGTTTCAGAGTTTTGTTTGTGGTCTAGTAGTAAAGATGTTAGATAAGGACCTGGGGGACCCACAGAAGCAGACTTGGTCAGTGGGTGGATCTTTAGCTCTCAGTTCAACTTATCTCACAAGGCAGTTGTGAGAAATGAAGTTCTATGTACTAGTGTTAATTTATTCAGTGCTTCAGATTCAGTCCCAAAAAGGTGTTTGTGGGGATGTGAACATAATTAAAGGAGTTATACTTTTTCCCCGGGATCATGTGACAGCTCCAGAAGACAGCCACAAGGTCCCCAGAAAAGATGAAGCTGCTTTAAAGAGTTGCAGACAAGATGCTTTATTGGCACTTCCATGTGCTCCAAGCCACTTTTTTGGAATTGAATCGGAAGTGCTTCATGGCCCACCTAATGCACACCATCTTGAGTTCATATAGGAAAGGAAAGATATAAATGACCAAAATTTAAAAAAAACAGTGGGGTACTGATCTCAAATAATTTAAAATTTAAATCGCTAAGATATAAGATACTTGCATACTTAGCTTAATATACACAAACTGGCAAGAGGTTCCACTAGATAATTGAGAACCTTTCCAATCCTTACAATCTGTGATTCTAAAACTGAACATGTGTTTCCAAAAAATTATTAGCAACTAGCACATGAATGCAAAGTAATTATTAAGAATGACTCAATAATTTTGTTTCTTGTATGTTTGCTTTCAAAATAATTATTGTTAACATCGTATGCATAAGAAAATAAAAAGTTTTATCTTATTTTGTTGTGAGTTTTTCTCCTGCTCCCAAATATCTTGCTGCAAAAGCTGAAATCTGATAATGTACCACTAATAAATTTTTAAGAGAATTTACCTGGTAATTTATCTAGCTTTACAAAGTTTGACTTTTTTCTTCTGTTACAGATGCTTCTCTTTCCACAGGTAAATTATACTCTCTATGTAGCCAACTATTCCCTTTTTGCCATATTAAACATTACAGTTTGGCAGCAAATCTTGGAAGCCTATCAAGGAGGACCACATCCAATGCTTTATATGCAACTCTGGGACCAGAACTTGTGAGTCTTTATTCTAACTTTTCAGTTGTCCTTTTGGGACCACATGGCCTCCACATGGATTCAGAATGAGTCTGTGGAGACCCAAAGCCCATGAATGCCTAGAATTCCAACACATTTGCAGGAAAAAGCTGATTCTATGGCCCTAGACTTTGACCATAAAGCACTGCACCAATTTTAAGACTGTAATGCTGGGCAGTCGAGGGGCTGAGAGATGTCAAAGTGCAAGGAAAGGCTCTTGGCAGTCCAGGTCCACTTGGGAACCTGTGTTACTCTCAAGCAGATCTGCTGTCTGGATGCAGTTCTATAACCCAATTGTCTGAAGACAGATTGCACTACAGCACTGAACTCTGCCTTTTTTGGACATGAGGCGGTGCTTGCATCAGAAGGGATGCTGCTGCTTTCATCAGGTTAATTGGTCTGACACCATTCCCCCACCCTCAGGCAGATGCCACTGCTTGATGGTCCTGAGATAACACTCACTGGAAGATAATCCAGAGAAAGAACCAATATCCTCATGTTGGTGCTCCTGTGGAGGGCTGCTAGAACCTTTGCCTTACATCCTAGAACTGACTACTTGGATCTAGATTTGGTTTATACTCCGACCTTGCTCTTTCCTTAAAGCCTTGGCTATTAGCATGATCTTGCTGTTCTTGCAGACTCTTGGACTGTAGCTTAGACCTTAGCTCTGCTTTGCCCCCTCATGTTTGTTCTTTAGCTAGAAAAATTTAGCAGGCTTAACTAAGTGCCTAGTACATAGACTTTTTTATGGAGACAAGACACCATTTCCTTTCAGATGTAAATATTGCTTTAGCCCATAGGACTGAGTTTGGCTTGCTGTTCCCTTTCCAATTTAGGGAATATGTTATCAATTATTCTTGTGCATAACTGGCCCCCATCATAGGAAGGCTAAGACAGGCTTCTCAGCAGGTTTGTGCTGTGGCCACTGACCAAACAGGAATATTGGTCTGAAGACAACATTTAAATTTGACATAGGCTTATTTTGATATACTGTATTTGATCTTATCTTAAAAGCAACAATATGGTTTTTGGTTACTGAACACATCAGGAAAGCTACTGTGACAAATGCCATAGCCACTATGCAGGGTAAAATAGTCGCTTCTAGATGGAACTTAACATTTCATGAAAAACTCTGAAGTGGGTCTCATGATCATTCCGGCATTGCTCAGGAAAATAGATGTGCAGAACAAAATGTATTGCCACATATTGCTCATATAGAACTATTGAAGACCTCAAGATGTTGTACCCATCATAAGCTGTAGGGAAGGGCTGTAAAACTATGTGACATTGTTCCTAGTATGAAAGGCATTAAAGTTTATACTATCTGTAACAAAAATATGTCCAGCAGGCTTGAAGTAATCTCTTCTGCTCATGACAATTAGTTGAAGTTGTGCTGGGTTAGCAAGCCATTTGGTTAAGCAATTTAGTCCTGAAGTTCATTCAGTGGTTTACACGGGAGTGATCTACTTAGGAAACAGAATCGAACAATTACTGAAATGGATGGGATCTTGATCCTGTCCATTTATGATGAACAGCAGGCCCTCCTTCAAGGCTATGAAAAGGGAACAGTTTTTAGGCAGCATTGCAGTAGAGTTCTTGAGGATTTTTCTATGGAAGAGAAGCAATTAGTGGCACATATCTGACTGACCGATGGAATAATGAGAACATTGACTCTTTCATGTGTGAGAGGGACAACAAAACTATTTTGCTTGTTTGGGACAACATTTGCAAGACTGGCTTCCTATATATTTTCTATTTTTGGCTTGCTTTAACAATATGTAACTTTGAGGCAGTATGTTGATAGCTGTTGTTTTTAATTTAGGGCACTTCCATTTTCCAGTCTGTCTGATCCCAGTGCTGTAGATCTCAGAACACAGAAGGCTGACAAGGAAGACCATAAGTCAAATGATGCTGTGCCTCCAGCTGATCAGTAAGGGATCACAAAATCCATAAAGTATTCAGTGACCTGCTTAAGCTACAGCAGGTCCTGGAGCAACAAAAATCCTCTCTTTCCCTCCTCCCCTTCCCTCAACATACAAAAAAGAAATAAAATAAATTGCAACCCCAATTGCAATTCTATCCATTTTCCAGAACATATTATGTATATCTTTCTGGCCATTTATAAAAACCAACAAACCAACATGAACAGCTGCTATAAACAGCCACAAAGCTCCATTCTTCTGCTCCATATAAAGACTATTGCTACCCTTGATTGGGAAAGGATAGCATTTTTGCCCATAGTGTCTGTAACCAAGATTTCATGTTTTTGTGGTGACTGAGATTGGAGGAAAGGAAACAGTATATTCTATAAATATAA